GGGGGCCGGCTCGGGGGGCTGCTGCTTCTGCTGGGGCCGGGAGGCGTGAGAGGCTGCGATCTATCCCCGCCGTGGCCCCCCGCCCCGTCACAGCCTGCCCTGGGTGGGAGTGAGAATCGGGCAGGGGGGTTCTGCTGGTTGTGACGCAGCCCCAGCTCGCAGGGGGCTGGAGGGGCCATGTCCCGACGGCTGCAACGGGGGCAGGGAATGGGAACCGGGCTGGGGGCTGAGGGTTGGTCTGCGCAGCATCTTCCCTGCCTCTCAGCACCCGCAAATAGACCCCCTCCCCACCCCCAGCCAGTGAGCACATACACCTACACAGAGAGCTGTCGGGTGTGTGCGCACACAGTGCATGCTCTGATACAGACACAGACACACCAAATGAGCCAATGTGCACGCACACACACAGACCCATTACACACACACACAGCCAATACACAGAGCCATTTGCACACACATACAAACAGAGCCATCGTGCGCATGCACAGTGCACACCCTTGCACAGATCCATACACACACACACACACACACACACACAACAAGCGCATACAAATGCCCACACAGACAGTCAATGCTCACACATACACCCATTACACACACACACACACACACACACACACACACACACACACACACACACACACAACTAGTTTGTGCCTACACTGCCACTGCTCGCACACGGAGAGTCCACACGCACAGAGCCAACATGCCCATACACGGAGCCAGCGCAGGCACACAGCCACACACACAACCAGTGCACACAAAGCCACAGCATGTATGCAAACCCATACACGCACACGGAGCCAATGCACGGGCGCGTGCACACACACACACACACACACACACAATTTCTCACACACACACACACAGTTTCGCTCTGACCCACGTCTGTTCACACTCACAACCCCTTCACTGCCCCCTCTCCTCTTTTCCAACCCCCCTAGTCCCCTAGCGCTCCCCCTCCCTGCCCAGCTCGCCAACTCTTTTGTCTTTCTGCCTGGCTGCTCCCTTTCACAGGGATTAAAGTGAAAAAGGAGGAAAAAAAAAAGGTTGTTCAGAAACTCCAGTGTCCAGCGGGGCCTTCCCCCAAAGCGCCGGGGCAGGTGGGAGGGAGACAATGAAAAGCCCCAGCCGCCTGTCTCCTGAGAGAGACACAGGGAGAAGG